ACACAGATAAACACTCACACACAAACAAACACAAAAATAAACACACAATCATGTGTTTTAAAAAAGCAAGCCATAGATACTAAAACAAACACAAAAACAAATAAATAAATAAATATATATGAATATTTTCACTTCTTTGTGTTTTGATCCCATGTCACATAAAGTACTGAAGAATTGGTTCTCTAGTACATAATCAATTTAGTAAATGTATAATTGGCTTATATTGGTTTATGTGTTGCACCGCTCGAGGTCGGTGACTGCATACAGCTACTATAGTTACCCCGAAATAAGCGGATGATGAGCGGCTGATTCATCGAGCACGCCACCAACGGCGAACATTGACGATACTTGACGAGAGCATGTACATAATTTCATGTCTGACATAACTGGTCTCTGGTTATTCGTGTGGCATACACAACTACACAACCAGAGTACTCACTGTAAACAATAGAATTTGCGAATCATATGTTAATATTTATTTCCAAGAATCGTTTTGTCACCAGAGGGCGCAATTCACCGGCGACAACGGTGACAATCCCTAATATTGCTAGAACGCCAGTTTTAAAAATTCTCAACTCTGATGAAAAAACAAGTTTCTGCCACTCACCGCAAAAGCCAATCATCGCGAAGCTACTAGTGTCAAAGAAAATATATTATATATATTTGCCTGGGAGATTGGGTTGTTGGTTTGGTTGTAATAGACGACTTTCCCGGAGGTCGAAGATACGGCGTTTCGCAGGCGTGCGCATGCCGTTATGGGGTGTAGCGTAAACTTGCACGCGTGATATTATGCTTCTGGGTGTACCAATTCGCCGTCAGAAAAATAAAATTCCCTTCTATCGACTATCAGCAAACTGACATGTTTGTTTTTTCAGCCATGAGAAAGAAGGAGTATTTTTGCACCCCAGTCTCGCTACTTCCGGGAAAGTGGTTACTTGTATATAAAATGCGCACTCCCACTGCCTTCGTGAAAAAAAAAAATACTCCGTGATACACCGTGAAATATTTTCCGTACCCCAGCATACGCCAAGGCGAGGCCATTGAGTTATATCACGTGACCTTATACGATGTATACAAACTTTTTTATGTATCGCGTATGTACATTTTACAATAAAATATGGAAACAAAAAGACAGTTTTATGTGTTTATAAATCCGGGATATACACATAGATTATAGAAATTGCACTGTGATAGATTTTGTAAATACCAAGGTGTGGAAATTATGATATATTTGAGCATAATTTACCCCCCCCCCGATTAGATGAGTTTAGATTTTGACGAATAAATTGGATCTTTGAAGCCACGCGAATTATAATTATAATTGTATCTGAACTGAGAGAACTAATTAGTATTCAGCTCAGATAGTTTTGATAGTATCCAATCTAATTTTCAAAATGTGTGTTTCCTTTTAATTGAAAACGTTTTTGTTTCCATTTGTCCATTGCTGCGTTCTGTGAGGCTATTGGTTAAAAAATAGGTTTCCTCAACGCGCACGAAATAGGATCGCTGCCAAACGAGGCATATCACCGTCTATTTAAACAAAATATATATAAATCATGATATGGTTAGCAACAACCTCATCGTACTGTACTAGTATGTCACGTCAAATTCTAAAAATGACATATTATTAAAGTTGCATTCTTAAAGGGCGGCAGTCGTCGTGCCGCGTCCTGTTCGATATGGGACTCATAGAGACGTATACAACGCGTGTAAGATACATCGTTTATTTACATGAAATTCGAACACGCGCTGCGCGACGACCACCGCGCTTCAAACATTAAAACACTGAAACTAGGCCGTTGTTTCATTGTTATGATAACCCAAGGCAACTGTACGTTATTTCATGAGCGATTCTAAATGTAGTTACTTCGTATTATATTTCGACAAGGCCGAGCATATACATTTTCTTTGGGATTCTGTTGGATACGATGTCTTACGAACTGTACAAAATCCTTAGATCTTATAATATCGTTTTTTTTTCTGTAGATCATAAAAAAATAGAAATGAACGCCTGACTTTAATCGTAGACTTGACTGATTCCTCGTGCACCATAAACTTGAACCTTAAAATAGGATTGTTTTGGGGGTCAGACTACTAAAAGAATGATTTAGTTTGTCATATTTAAAGATGTAATCTGTATTTGGAGATTGTTTTTGAAAAGTTCACGTTAGGGTTTATTCATGAACAAGCTACAAATTTGGAATGTACATCTATCTATAAACCTACCTCGCTAAAAAAAATTAAAAAAACTCCCGTCATCATCAAAATAAATACAAATGTAACATTTAATACCCTACGATACGATGTTACACAATCATTGTGATGCATGGAATGTACAGTTTCAACTTTGGCTCGACAGAAAGCCTTTATCAGCCAATACGGGAACAGTACTACTACTTCTCGAACAGTAAATAATAAAGAAACAAAGTTGTGAACCGAACATTTATTGGCAATGAATCGCCAAAAAAATATTGAACGGTAATTGTTAATACATTTCGTGGGGCTGAAGCCTCAATTAAATCTTACAAAAAAACAGCAACGACTGAATCATGTTCTAGTCTATGATACGACGCAACGGTAGCGGCATCTCCTTTCTTGGAATGTCCGGAACTATAAAGGGTTTCCATAATAACGAGTGGGCCGATCTCAAATCGTGACAGGACCCGAACCGACGGAGATAGTAATGATGATGTGGTATTATTATGGTAGAATTCCGACGCAGTCGTGTTCCATGGTTTGATATCACACTGATGGTATTCATTGTACTGTGTCTATGTTGTGGCGTCGACATTTTCATGGATTCCCTGGTTAAATTGTCTTCCGTTTTTACCGACAGTCTAATTTTTTTCACTAGATCTGTAATGCTCGGCACACGGCGAACGGGAAAACTTGAAGGTGACTGGGGTCGCGACCTGAATCGGAATGACATCGCGTATTTGTACATAAGTCCCAGGATTAGACAAACAAACGGAATCTCTGATACTAACATGCAACAGGCGTAAAACATTATTTCCCCATCTTTCGACTGCATATCCAAGACCCACGATGCAACGGTGGCCATTCCTTGGTGTGCAGGCAACCATACATATTTGAACCCGAGATAGACGTATAGCAGAACCCTGACGACGCAGTAGAGGACGCGTACGCGCCGTTTTTGGCGTCTAACACAAGCCGGTAACGATTGCAGACAGGCGATTAAAGCGAAAGTCAAAATGATGATCAGCGATGGCCAGATCGGCGGACAGCCTATAGCGGTAGCCTCCATCTTGACAGCGATTTAGAAAGTTTTTTTCTTTCTTCATCTTGGAAGCATAAACTTTGCAAACAAAGCATTGTTCTATCACGGCGTTGTATTGTGACGCACAAAACGCGCAGCTGAAAATTCGTCGACGCAAAGAATCCCGGGATAGATATTCACGCAGTTTTCGATCCTCGTGAATGTAGGTGAACTTGTTGCTTCAATAACTTAAATTATTTGAATTTGTCGTATCCAAGGCGAAAAAAGCCAAATTTGCCGAACTAGCCAAAACAGCTACCGATATGGGTTTGGGAGAAAGAAGCCTACTCATAATTTTGAGAAAATTGGTCATAAATTGCATGACAATGTTCATTGGTTTATTTTGTACAATAATGGAGCTGTTGTCCCATGGTATAATACAATAAGCTAGCATTCTTTGTATGTTACGGCACGGTTAGATTTTTTTTTTAAGTAACCGTGGTTACAGTGACGTTTCTTGAGAAAACTTGTCCTAATATTTGTTTTCAATAATTGTTATTTTAAAACAATTATATAGAGCACACTATCTGCATTTTTCGGCACTGTTTAATCCCCAGACTTGAAATATTTCAGGACAACAAAAAATACCCTATCAGTATTAATATATTGTATAATTTTTCGGAACTTTTTAATACCCAGACTTGAAATTAATATATTATATTATTTTTTCAGCCTATGTCACCAGCCTAGTACGATTTAATATATGACATATTATCCTTGTCATAGGTACTTTTAGTCAAAACGGTATAATATTGCCAAAAATGACAACTATCCGCCTTTAAAGACAACTACCATTTTCTCGAAAATCAGGCTGGTGACCTGTTTTTTTTTAATTTATTGCAAAATGAATAAAATCTGGGTTTTCAATCATGAGCAGGCATCTACCTTAAGGTAGAAGCCTAGTCATAATTTTTGACAAAATTGGTCACAAATCGCATGACAATGTTCATTGGTTTATTATGTACAATCATGAAGCTAATATCTCATGGTACAATGACATAGCATTATTTTGTGTTACAGTTATGCTTTTTGAGAAACGTGTCCTAATATTTCTTAAAAATTGCTATTTTTAGAACAATTCCATAGAACACAATGTTAAAGAAAAATTGCATTTTTTCAAGTTGACACTTTTTAAAACCCAGATTTTTTAAATAATTTAGAACAACAAAAAGTACTCCATCATTAACAAATTATGATTTTTTCAGCCTATGTCACCAGACTAGATTTTGAGATATTACATAATATCTCTGCCATAGGAACCTGTGGTAAAAGTGTTATAAGAGTGTCAAAATGGCGACTTTCCACTAAAATACAACTATCAATTTCTCGAAAAAAAGGCTGGTGACCCCCATCTTTTTTAGGTCAATATCCTTATACTGCCTTGAAGTACAATTCATTGCAAAACGAATAATTTCTGGGTATTTTAATTTATGAGTAGGCTTCTACCTTAATAAGGCAAGGAGTGCGAAAAATGTTAGGCTGGTGATCTGATCCCCCCCCCCCCGGGCCCCATGCAAAAATTCTATTCTATCCTAAGTAAGTTATCTTTATTTCGTACTGTGGCCATTGGCCTTATGTACAGATACAAATAAATACATAATAAATTAAATTGGATCCAATCTATTCTATTCTATTAATCACTCAACATACATTGAAAAGGACGATAACGGACACAGTGAAAAAAGTTTTCGTAATCCCAGAATGCAATCGGTGACCCAAAATGGCAGCTCCCATGGTAGCTTCCTATCTTACATGCTGGTTGTGCAATATTTCGGATATTTTACGTTAATATACATAATACGTGACTGGATTTGCATCGGCGTAGTAAGGTAGGTCGTGGATGTGATATAACCCATGACTGATGTACGGTATTTAGTCAAGTTTGAAGACGACAAACACGCAAAAACTCGTCTCTTCTTTCGAAATAACACGGTATTTTAACGGTGAGAGGTCGAGAGAACGATTACCGTGACGTTGTACTTCAATGCCTAATTGTCGGACATCTTGCCCGAACTTCGGACGCTGTTTTTATTCGCCAGTAATTGCTACTATTCTACCGTTTTGAACAAGTGTACGCTCAAATATAATTCCGAGACCCTAACTCTCACAAAGTCACGCGCAATTTGCATCCACGATCATTACAACCTCGTTCTAGGGCTCTAGTTTTCAAGACGGAAATATGTATATATATATATGAATATGCACAAGGGCCCGAAGATCTAATCGTGTCAATACATGGACGTGTATATGGCGGAACGACTATGTTCACAGTACAGGGACACGAATTCGAATAGATCGTACATGTTACCCGAAACGAACTGTTAATTTGGGGGGGGGGGGTGTTCATCACATAAAGCAGACAATTTTTTCATTATTTTTATTTTCGATTCTTTCTTAATTTATATTGTGGACATTTTAATTTTTGACTCCCGTGTGCGAAGCACACAATGGGAGTCTTTGCAGTTACCCTGTCTGTATGTGTATGTGTGTGTGTTTGCTGCAGTTTATGCAGCTCTCTTGGTCGTGGTATACGTTGCGGGGCGACCAGAGAGCTGCAGTTCCCTTCTCTAAAGAAATGCACAGATTTTTAATTATGCCAGTTATGTATCATTAAAATTGTGATTGTAATAAAATTACCTCGACTTGCAGGAAAAAATAGACAAATATGTTCTCACAAATATATCTGTTACTGATTACAGCAAGCTATAAGCAAATTTGTCCGTGTAAATTAGACTATTTCACGTTAAAACTGTGCCGAAGTGCAACCTCTGATTGAACGCCGCCATTTTGAAGCTGACCTCTATCACGTGACTTGGCTCTTTCAGTGATGAGTGTAATCACGTGACTACAGCAGACGGCCATCGGCGCCTGTCTGGACAGCGCTTTATGTGATGAAACAACGGCAGACGGCTTTTTATAATTTTAATTTCATTTCACCATTAAGTGACTCATCTTTTTTTGAAAAAATCAAATAAAGTACATGTATTATTAAAAATATTTTTTTCAAGCAGTTTTATTTATATATTGTGAAAAATCTAAAAATAATTTTGTAACTTGTTACAAGTGACAGGAGCAGACAGCATGGAATTCACAAAGGACAAAATTGTTGAGTCTTTTGACCAGAATCTGAAAGATATTTTTAAATTTGACCTAAAAGCTCAACAAGTAGAAGGTACTACTTGTATTTTAAATAATATACACACATTGGCCATATTACCAACAGGGTATGGCAAAAGTATGATGTACATTTTACCACCAATGCTCCTCAATATTATGCGGAAAGAGACAACAAGCCAACGGGGTAATGGGTTTCAGCTTTAGAACATTCACTAATGCATTGCCAACAGTTTCTGAGGTTTTAAGTCTAGATGCAATGGATTGCCTGCGATACCCTTTAACTTTCTTCTGGAACTCATCTCCACAATGAATTCAAGAACCTGCCATTCTCAATGTTCAGTTAAAATGTCAACTGCGCATGCTTCATCATTGTCATGTGATCAGGTCACATGACAGAGGTCATCTTGAAATCCGTCGTTCAATCGATTAAATTACGTTCGGTCTAATTATACACTGAAATATATACTTTTCAAGAAGAAATAGTCCTTCATTTTTGGTCAGTAGATACCTAAGATGTTTGTGTTTGCAAGGATAACTTTTATTCGTTTTAAATTTCATTGAAATCGTTCGATAACATCAAAAATAGCGTGCGCCCCGGGATCCCGGGGCGGCGAACTGTGCGGTTCTCAATGGACGCGATCTGCAGCTCTATGACCGCAACGTTATATCAAAATAGCTTAAGCGGCCAATAAGAGCTGCTAAACTGCAGCAAGTGTGTGTGTGTATGGGTCCGTCTGTTCCACTGATATCTCAAAAACCATACATCGCATCGGTTTTTGCTGAAACTTGGTGCATAGATGCTCTGGGCCAATGCGCAGATTTGATTAGGTTTTGGTAGAAATCCATGCATATTAATTACCTAATTTGCATGATAATTAGCTCATTTTTAGCTGTTCCATGACTGTTCCACTGATATCTAAAGAACCACTCACTGGATTTTGATGAAACTTGGTGAAAATCTGTGCATATTAATCACCTAATTTGCATGATTAGTTAATTTTCGTATTTTCACGTATATCTCAAGTACTAATCATCACATTTCAATGAAACTTGGTGCATAGATCCTCTAGGACTATGCAGAGATCTGATTAGTTTTGGGGTAAATAATTGTGCATATTAATTAACTTATTTGCATAATTATTTAATTTTCAGCTTTTTCACTGATATCTCGACTACTAATCATCACCTTTCAATGAAACTTTGTACATAGATGCTCTAGGACAATGTACAAATATGATCAGTTTTGGGTTAAAATCTGTTCATATAAATTCCCTAATTAGCATAATAATTCATAATTGTTTGGTTCTGATCACATTTCAATGAAACTTGGTACATAGATGGTCTGTTACATTGAGTAGACCTTATTCGTTTTACACTCTGTTCATTTTAATTTTCTGATTGGCATAATTAGTTTTCAGCTTTTCCAACAATATCTCAAGTACAAGTCATTTTGAATAAATTTTTACTGTGTCTCTAATACTCTCAGCACACAGGAGTTCTTTCTAAGCTTTCTTTGATTTATCTTGTCGCCCACAACAAATTCTTACCCCCAAATCTTCTGATAACAGTGGTAAATATTTGAAAATTTATCAGCGTTAGTGGATCTGTAGATATACCCCCAAAAGTGCCTGGTCTTTTTGTTATTAAAGTGAATGACTCTGGTCGTACTTTAAGTTCCAAGGTGGTTTGCCTTCTTTGGAAAACACTAAATTTAGAGTGAGTATTATTGTCATCAATAATTTCATCTTGTTTTTTGTAATATTCACCTATGAGACGAATATGGCTACCTAGATATGTGGCAGTTTTCAGCATAAAGCTAGCTAAATATTAAACCTTTAAATGCCAAAGTTAACTTGAAAGGATGGCAGAGGTTTGGCTTTTGTCACTTCGTATGAAATTTGAAATCTATGAATGAATTCCGGCGATAAAAACAACTTGTATGTGCTGCAAAATGCCCTAAATATCGGGTATAAAATGGGCTGTGAAGTAGACGACAAACGCCCGCTTTGTCTGGCGTCATTTCGCCTCTAGAGGGCCAGTCAAATGACGTCATCAGTGAACACTGATAATTGAACCCATTCATGCTAGTACGTCAATCCCATAGAAGTGCTACTATGAAAGACCTTGTTAACTGACAATTTAAAATAAACAACATAAAATTTTGTGAAATAGGATAAAACACCAGAAGAACAATTGCATATCAAATTCTGTAAACAATTAGGGGTAAACAAATATCACTAAATCTATCTTGCAGATCAGAACTCAGAAAATACCCATTATTATTATGCATCTGTTACCGTAACGCCATAGGTTACAGCATGCCATAATTTTGCAGTATTGCACTGGGTATTTTCATCCTACCATATTAGGAAACATGAATTTAACTATTGAACGATTACGCACGTAAGCGTCCTCTAATAATAAAAATAAACATGGCTGCCTGCCCCCCAGGATTTGACCGGACCCGACACAAAGAAGTTTGATAAATCTGTTCTGTGAATTTTTGGCATTTCCATAGTGTATCCTTGGTAAGAAAAGATGTATAATAATAAGGTTATTACGAGGATACTTCAAAGTATGCACTCAGACAGTACGCATCGATACTCCCACTGTACTGTCTTTGTGCATACTTTGCAGTATCCTCATAATAACCTCATATTAGTGGAAATTAAAGAAACTCTTGATTTTAATTTATCACGGGTTAAAGGCAGTTGAAATTATACAAATTTTTTAATGGATTCTAATTTTGAATTTATGACTCACAATATTAAAAAGAATTAAATTAAATTCTGGAGATCAAAAATGAAAAAAATAGCACCTTAGTTTGTCAAATTCAAGAAGTTGTACACTTTTGAGCGTTATTTATCTATACTCAATTTAAAAGAAAGAAACACAATGACATGTTTAGAATAAGTAGCCATATATTAGAAATAGAGAAAGGGTGACATACCCAACCGAAAACATCTCTAGAAATAAGAACATGTAAAAGTTGTACACAAGATTGAAAATGAACAACATTTCTTTATGAAATGAATAAAGTATAAAAAACATTGCAAAAATTTCTTTCAAGTGTTGAATTTCCAAAAATTAAAAAAACAAACAAAAGAGTAAACTCATTATTCACCTAATGAGTACAACTGAAGACAACATCGTCAGACAGATTAGCAAATATTTATAAAACACTTTTTTTCTATTAGAAGAGATTAAAGGGTGGCAGTCGGCGCGCCGCGTCTTGTTTGATATGGGACTCATAGCGACGTATACAACGCGTGTAAAATACATTATTTATTCACATGGAATTCGAACACTCGCTGCGCGACGACCACTGCGCTTTAAACTGACTTCTGTTAACACTTTATTGCTATATACTGATAGAAATGTTATTTCTAATAAATTTCTAATAAATTTATTATTATTAAAGCTTGAAGTAATGTCACATTTTGGTTTGAAATTATATGGGAGTGGGAAAAAATTTGCTGCTCAAAAGGTTAAGTTACACTAAGGTCGTACAATACCGGTATATTTGCCATTGGCTCTAAAATATCAGTAAGGTCAAATTAAAAAAATTTTATGGTAGGTAGTACATTGTAGGTAAGATTTTTTTTAATTTTTATATATACTATATTTTTTTTTTGCTTACAAGGACTGTTTTTGCTGATGTGAGTGTTATAAATCCTGTTTGAAAGTTTTTATGCTACCTAGTTTTAAGTCTTTGCAAATAATGTCAGGCAAAAAAATGTTGGGTGAGGCAGTAATAATTAGGGTAGGTCAGGTTATATGAATTTGGCTTTATCTTCTCATCCTGCTACCAGGACCTGGCGATCTCATATGAAAAGGCAGTGGTCAACGTGCAGTACATGTTTTTGTTTCATGTAAACAAACAATGAATCCTATATTTAAATGGAATTGCTTTTTAGGTGCACAAACGTATTAAAATAAATCTACACTAATGCCTTTACTACTACAAACATTTATCTAACTTTTTGACTCCCATTTGCGAAGCACATAATGGGAGTCTTTGCAGTTAGTGTGTCT